TAAAGATGCATTTCCTTTGGTTACTGCCCCATTCTAGATATAATCAATCTATCCTTAGTAAATAGGTATGTACCACAAGATTTTAAGGTTGCTGTAATCAAATCTTCACTTAAGAAGCCTTCTCTGGATCCAGATGACCCCATGAATTATAGACCAATATCTAACCTTCCATTTTTATCCAAAGTCCTGGAGAAAATAGTGGCCATCCAAGTATGTGAGCATTTAAACACTAATGCTCTGTTTGAGGAATTTCAGTCAGTTTTTAGAGAGTATCACAGCACTGAAACTGCGTTAGTGAGAGTTACAAATGATATTCTCATGGCGTCAGATAAGAATCTTGTGTCTGTTCTAGTCTTGTTTGATCTCAGTGCTGCCTTTGACACAGTTGATCACAATGTTCTTTTAGAAACATTTGAACATGTTGCAGGGATCAAAGGAACAGCGTTAGGCTGGTTGAAATCCTACCTGTCTAACAGATTTCATTTTGTAAATGTACATGACAAATCGTCTTCATACTCCAGGGTTACTTGTGGAGTACCACAGGGTTCAGTGCTTGGACCAATTCTTTTTACTATATTTATGCTCCCAATCGGTAAAATCATTAGACAGCATGGGATAAACTTCCACTGTTATGCTGATGAACCTAATCGGTTGGGTAGATTACAGGCTTGTCTTGAGGACATAAAAAATTGGATGACTCTAAACTTTTTGCTTTTAAATCAAGACAAGACGGAAGTTCTCATCTTTGGACCAGAAATCCAGAAAAGGAAATTGCTTAGCCAATCACCTGACCTGAATGGCATTATATTAATCTCCGAGAACAAAGTAAGGAACCTTGGTGTTATCTTTGACCAGGACATGACATTCATATCCCAGGTTAAACAGGTTTGTAGGATTTCCTTTTTCCACCTTTGGAATATTGCTAAGAAGCATCCTTTCCAGGAGTGATGCTGAAAAACTAGTTCATGCATTTATTATATCAAGACTGGATTACTGTAAATCATTGCACTCAGGAAGTCCACAGAATGTAGTTAAAAGCCTTCAGCTTGTCCAAAATGCTGCAGCTAGAGTTCTGATGAGAATTAAAAAGAGAGATCATATCTCTCCTGTCTTAGCTTCCCTACATTGGCTACCTGTTAATTTCAGAATAGATTTTAAGATCCTCCTTCTCACAAACAAAGCTCTTAATAATCAAGCTCCATCATACATCAGTGATCTGATTGTTCCATACGTTCCTAACCGAGCACTTTGCTCTCAGACTTCAGGTCTACTGGTGGTTCCCAGAATATCTAAAATTAGGATGGGAGGCAGATCTTTTAGTTATCAGGCTCCTCTCCTGTGGAACCAGCTCCCAGCCTTATTCCGCGAGGCAGACACTTTGTCTACTTTTAAGAATAGGCTTAAAACATTTTTATTTAATAGGGCCTATGGTTAAAATCTTATGTTAGCCTAGATCTGGACAAGTGGGGGAGTACAGGGAGGTGGAGTGTACAGTCGGTAAAGATGGCTCTCCCTTGCCCTGCCTCCAACATGCCTCCATCTAAATAGGATAGATAGTCCTGAGTTATCTCTGTAGTTATACTGCTATAGGCTTAGACTGCTGGAGGATACACTGACCACTTTTCACACTCTACTGCTTTCTTCTACAATCTGCTCTTTAACTGCATTATTTCCTGCAATTTCAGCTGTTAACTTTATTTTCTTCCTAAGTGTTTTTCTCCCCAGAAGAAGCTACAATTATGTTCTGCTGAGCTGTGGTGGCCTCATGGAGGGGGCCATCGTCCAGCACACTGCTGCTAACCACTTAAACATTCTCCCTCTCCTGATAATAACTTTTTGCTTTCCTTGACGTTGGATGTGCTACTACTAGTTTATCTGTTTAATTATAGATCCACTAGGATAAATACAATAAAGTTTATCTCTCACCAAATAGAATATTTACTAAGACATCACAATATAACTATAGACACATTACTTTGTCTTTGTGAGTGTGTGTGTATGTGTATGTGTATGTGTATGTGTATGTGTGTGTGTGTGTGTGTGTGTGTGTGTGTGTGTGTGTGTGTGCGCGCGCGCCTGCTCTGTCTTCTCGATCCCCAGTGAGTCGTGGTGGATGGCTGCTTATACTGAGCCAGGATTCTCTGGAGGTTTCTTCCTGTTAAAAGGGAGTTTTCCTCTCCACTGTCGCTATATGCTTGCTTTGTATGAGGATTGCTGTAAAGTCACTGACACTTGTCAGTGACTTTACAGCAATTTTCTGGGTTCCCTATATAGGAAACATTATTTCTGATTGGCTTAATGAACTGATCTGAATTGGAATGTTTATTATGTAAAGTGCCTTGAGATGACTCTTGTCGTGATTTGGCGCTATATATATAAACTTGAATTGAATTAAATTGAATTATGTCCAAATCGGGTCACAGGTCTTCTGAGTCAAACGGTCTAAGGCCTAGTCCACACGTAGCCGGGTTTTTTAAAAAACGAATATCCGCCCCTCCAAAAACTTGCATCCACACCACCTCGTTTAAAAAAAACTCTGTCCACATGTACCAGGATGAATACGTTGTTAAGGACATGCCAGACCTGTAAGCGGCAGTACTTCCCCCAAATTGTATCCAGTCAGCGTCGTCTGTGTTCTTCCGCAAGGAGCAGTAATTCCGCTTGCAAAAACAAGCAAAAAGCGCTTGGACAATTGATAAAGCGAGCGCAGCTCTGAGGGCATCCATGCTGTCGGCTAGTGTAAACACAGGTCGCACATGTGATATCAGCATTTTTTGTCGCGGAAAGTGACGTTGCGGACCTTAAAACTCCGGTTTTGTCTGTCCACACGCAGACACCCAAAACGGAGAAAACGCAGATCTTCACTTTGGCCGGAGTTTTTAAAAAGATCCGTTTTCGTGTGAAAAAAACTCCATTTTTGTGTGGATGACAGGCCAAAACGTAGAAAAATATCTACGTTTTGGCAGATCCACGGCTACGTGTGGACAGGGCCTAAAACATGTCTGCACCTCTGGTAGTGATATCCAGCAGGCGGGGTCAGCGTTCGGTTGAACTGCTCCGGTAATCTAATATCCGTTCTCGTCGCCGTGTCCCAGAGAAAAAACAAATCTGATAGACTAGTAGAGGCTTCAGAAGCTACATCTGATTGATGACACATTGTTCTCTGCTATAACGCTAACGCAAAAACACCGGAGTCAGGCGTTATTTACCACAGTTGTTTCAGCAGAGCTCCATGTGAAACGTCACCAGCTGCCCAGGGCTTAGACCGGAAGTTAGTTTCTGTTTTTCCTGCGCCAGTCACAAACATCAGATTTTCTTACAATTCCAGCCATCAAAATCCAAAAACCTTTTTCATCTAAGGTTTTAATACACATTTACACATGCTGTTCAAACTAATTTTGCCTCTGACCGATATCTTTAAATGAGTGAGTGAACCCACAACCAAGGATGAACTCTGCTAACTTTAAAAATCAGCTGCTCTAAATAAGCATGAAGGTCAGAGAGGAGCTCTAGGATGGACATGGATAAAGGAACTGTAATGTAGAGGTAAAGTAGGGCAGGGCCAACGTTAGCAGCTGTCATACGGTCCATCTGAAATGTTTGACTTTCATTTAGCTTGTTATGTGACAGGTTAGAGCACAATCTCATGTTAGAGTTTTGTCATGAGAACATTGAGCTACCTCACATACTGATGGCATCTAAAAATTAACAGGTTTTTTTTTTTCAAAATAAAGAATAATTTTAACGTACAATCCTAGAAAAACCTCGTCCAATCAATGTGCACATCCTGTTCTCACTGACTGGATAGAAATCCTTCCATCAAACTGTGTGTGTGTCCGTGTGTGTGCGTGCACACACGAGCGTGTTGTGAACTGGTGTTTGGTTTTGCACTGATGTAGCCATCTTTACACTGACAAAAATGTAACTAAGTAACTTTTACTTTGAGTACATTTTATTTACGATACTCTTTACTTTTACTTGAATAAAAATGCAGGCAAGTACTTTTACTTGTACTTGAGTAAAAAATTATCAAAGTACTGGTACTCATAAGTAGGAAATTTTAGTACTCTTTCCACCTCTGATGGTCTTTCGAAGTTTTGGTATTGATTTGGTTAATGAGAGCGTTTAGTCATTGTTACTAGTTTTGAGTTGCTGCTGATGTGTCTTTTTTCAATAATCTGTGTTGTGTGTTATATTTATATAAATAAATGTTGTATTGTTAATTTTAACACGAGAACATGCGTCCTCAATTGTTACCCCAGGCCCCCTAGACAGCCTGGATCGTAACAATGAACATATTTGGGGTTTTCTTGTCGTGAGAGGGATGGTCTAAACCAGCGGAGCTGTAGAAATGATGGCAGGCATTTTGATATAAGCAGCGGGTAGGTTTTCTAGTGAATGCTTCTGCACCTGAACACAAACAATTTGTCAATAATTCCACAACACAATGCTCAAAAGCAACACACACATGCTGCCCTGCTTAAAAATTCATTATAAACAAACAGGTGAATTATCCTGCAAATCCATCTAAAGATGAGATAAATCTAAATTATTGTGTTCAGAGATCACATTAGAAGGAAAATGGATGAAATTAAAAGATCAAATATATATTGTTGTGTCTGACACTTTCCATGTGAGTTTATCTATGCACAACTGCCAGAAACTATTTGTTAAATTTTTTAAAACTGTTTTCTGTAAATGAGATTATGTAATATAGATATGATTTTAGATAGATAGATAGATAGATAGATAGATAGATAGATAGATAGATTCTTGTGCTCTGAGATCAAATGTTTTTCACAGCTTCTATATTTAAGTTTGATAATACAAAGTAGACTCATCACATTATTATAAGAAGCTTTAATAGAAGCAGTGACAACAACATCAACCTGAAGGACTTCTTTCCTAACAACCCGAATGACTTTCAAAAGCAACTTGGACATGCATTAAACTCTAAATGTCTTTAACCTCACTTAAAATGTTTTGTATGAGAAACCTACCGAAGCAGGAGTTGATGAAGCCGTACCAGCTGCAGCCGCCGCGCCCCAGCAGCCACTTCCCGCGGATGCTGGACGCGAAGCTGAGCGTGGTTCCGAACAAGCACACCAGCATGTCGCTCACGCTGATGTTCAGCAGCAGCATGTTCACCGGCGTTCGCAGCTTCTTGAATTTGCAGAACAGGAGCAGGACGATGAAATTGTTCAGGCAGCCAAAGGTCATGATGAAGCCCAGCGCCACGGAGAGCACCGCGAAGCCCACCGGGGAGAGCTTCGCCTCGCCCGCAGACGCGTCCCCCGGCTCCCGACCATCGCTCTGGTTGAAGCTGTAATTCAGCCAAGCCTGGCTGGAAAACATCCCGTGGTCCATTCATCTAAGTCTAAACTTCACTCTGCAGGGTTTCTGCAAACCTTTTAAAAGTTTTTAAATTCTGTAGCCTTCTTGACTCTTTCATCGTGATTTCTGTTCTTTTGGACCTGAGAAATCCATGTTGCGTGCAAGACACACAACCCGTTCCTGAAACCCCATTTACCACCTGTTACGCATCACTTCCTCAGTCTGACTCTTTCTTTTAACTCTACACAGACGCAGTCTATTACTTCTTGCTTAATGTTTGGAGAAATCCTGTCACCACTCTACTCGGCTGTCTGCCAGTGCAGACTCCACCAGGACGATCGAGAGGAGAGCAGAGTTTTGCATCCGTTTTATAGGAAATGCCACTCTTACGTCACCAGAAAATATGATGCTTGGGACTACGAGGTCCATTTGCATGAATTTCTGACTGGTTTTATATTCATGTGATGAAATATTAATCCGTTTTAGACATTCGAAGTATGCGTGATCATAAAAAATGACAGTATTACTTTATTTATGAGTCAGGCTTGTTTATTTTTTTGTTAGGAAGTGAATCGATTCTTTCTTTTATTTTCTAAATAATTTGCAGCTTTTATTTATTTTTTTTTTTTAACCAAGAATAACATGTCATCAAGTATCCAAAATGCAAACTGCACAGAAAATAACAATAAGGTCAATCATTACAAAACAAAGTTTAGGGCTAAATAAAGAACTAAAACCTGAATGAACTGCACAACAAAACAATAATGATTAAATCATCAAAACTGTTAAAGCTTAAAAGAAGCTGATTTAAATGTCGTCCTATCAGGAAATTAGTACTAATTCAATTAGTAATGGTGCTTCTTAACAATAAAAGTAATCTTTATGGGAATAACTTGTAACTGATACATTCTTGTAGAGTTACAGTAAAAAAGGATGAGAAATAACACCCAAACATCAGTTTTTCTTCCTTGTTTTATATGTTTTGACACAAAATCCAACATGCAGGATATTAGCTGGATCATTTGGCTAGTTTCATACATTCAGTAGCTTTGTGAAAATATTCACATGCATGGTTCAAATGTAGCTTTGATTTTGGCTCAACCTTGTGCAGCAGAGCTTGTTGCACAGAAATGTCAAACTTTGCCTGGATGTTTTTGCTCAGCAGAAAACTATAACACAAACGCCTCGATTCAAATAATCTTCTCTTCTGCACAGATTCAGTTTCCATTCCTACCTGACATTTGTCAGCAAACAAAAACAAAATCTCAGAACTGGACATTAATAATAATAATAATTATTATGATTATTATTATTATTATTATATATTTAAATAGCGCTTTCCAATATTCACACACTCACTCACTGCCGGTGTTTTCATTGTCAGTTGTTAATTAAAATGTATGTAATAATAAAACCTTTCCAAAGGCATCACATGCTTTTGTTCAGTTCAAAATGACCTGCAGTCATTTATTTACACTTTTAAAATACTGTCTAGAATAAACAGAAATCTTCTATTTTGTGTCTATTTTATTATGCTGACCTGCCATTCATTTGAAAAACTCATTTTCCCATCATGCAGTTGTGTAACTGCACATTTAAGTTGTCCCTTTTCCTGCAGGATTAAAAAGTTATGGACAGACTGTGTATTTCCTCACCTCTAACTAACTTTAGTGTTGATTCATAGTTTTCTTGCAGACAGGTATTTAGTCAAATCAGTATTTGTGAGGGACTTTCACAAAGAAACTGTTAAACCCCACAGACTGCAAAACATTTTTTATTCTAATTGTGACTGTTTACAGCTGTCAGATGTCCTAACTTCCCTGACAGATGGCTTGTTCTGAAATTCTCCCCTGAGGGACATCATTAAGCATTCATATAACCGCGTTAACACTTAAATATCTAATTAGAGATAATTGTACTCATAAATGTTTTTATTATAAAAAAATAGTATTTTTTCTTTGCTCCTGACATTTAATTTTCATCCAATTTCCCTCCAGTCTGATAAAGAAATTATGTTCAATCAAAAGGAGGAATTCGTGAGAGGAGTCACCAGGTATTCCTTGCTTTAGTCTTTGTAGAGTTAATTCCCTTTACAACACATACAGTAAAAGATGGTAACCATTTAACATCATTTAACAACCAAGCATTTACTGGCATTTTGATTATTTAATTTGAATTTTCTTACCATTTTGCGCAGTGGGGCTCATAATAAAAAAAAGTACAAAGTCAAAGTTGTTGCTAACATAAAACCTTTTTGTTGTAAATTGTATTTTTCATTTGTTTTTATTTGTCTCCGTCTTACAGTATAGAGGGGGAAACCCAGGGAAGAGGTCAGAGGAGCACTGGAGAGAGTGGAGGATGATGGTGCTTCCAGGTGAGAGATGATGAAGCATTGGTTTGTTGGTACAGGCAAACTAGATGATTACTGCTAAAACCTTTACAGCAACACAAGAAGATGGTGACCAGAAGCAGAGGATTAAGAAGAAATTATCTTATGGAGCACCTTTCAAGATAAAAATCAAGAGGCGCTCCATAAGGACTAAAAAATAAAAATGAATTTAAAATATCAATAAAAAGGAGAAATGCCTCTTGGCTTAGGTCTTAAAGGGATATTCCACCCTTGAATTAAACATAGTCTGTTGCCTTATTCCCCAGAGGTAGATTAGTGAGGATAAAGCATTTTGTAACCAGCCTATCATTCTAATCTGGCAGCACACCTTTAGCTTTAGCTTAGCATAATCAAGGTAAGCAGATGGTAACAGTTAGCATCATGTAAAAAGTGATGAAATTTTTTTCATAATACTTTTCTCTTGGTGCCCTCAATAATCATACTCACTGCAAATGAAAATAATAAGTAACACGAAGGAATTACAGCAGCTGGCTTAGACTAGGTGGTATTTGGGGTTGCTGTGACCTTGCACCTTGCAGCAGCGGTTTACTGCAGTTCTTTGTCGTAGCATAGTCCCAAGTCTAAATTAGCTCCTCTAAATTCTTTGTGTTACTTTTTATTATTGAGGTCACCAAGATAAAGTTATGATTATTACTGAGTAGTTTGGGTTAGGGTTTTACACGTGAAATGCTAACTGTTACCATCCATTTACATTGTTCATGCTAAGCTAAAGCAAACACAAGATTACCAGATTAGGAGAATCACTGAGCTAATTACAATCTGCTTTTTTCTGGCCAGGTTAAGGCACAACTGTGCAACAGTCATGCTGTCTAATCAACACCTTAATATGCCACATCTGTGAGGAGGGATAGATTCTTTCGGCAAAGTGCTCACTAACACACATTTATAGACAGATTTGTGAATGACATTTGAGAGAGATGGGTCTTTTGTGTAAATAGAAAATGTTTCAGATCTTTGAGTTCAGCTCATGAAAAACTGGAGCAAACAACTAAAGTGTTGTGTTTATGTTTTTGTTCAGTGTAGCAATGTGAGGGAACCTGGCACAGGCTGTCAGGTTATTTGGTGTTACAAAAAGGTTGACTACTGACACCATGCATGGTCTGTTTCTCTCTTCTTGTTCAGAGATAGGGCAGCCACGCTCTGACCCCTGTATCCAGTGCAGGATGATGGCTGGAAATGACCTTTAAGGTGTATATTTTAAATCTAATGACCAGATTGCTAGTGTTATCTTTTTCCCGTTTTACTTTATTTTAGAGTCTATCTCGTCTTTCAAAGACTAGAATAAAAGCTGGAAAATACACTTAAAAAAAAGGAAAACATAAGAAAAGGTTTTCCCTGAGGAAAAAATCAGAACATCAGTAAAGACTCAAAGTAACAGAAGCAGTTCACAGAATCTGCAGGAGTCAGTGTTTACGAGTCTGGCAGCCGTGGGTTAGAAGCTGTCTCTGAGGCGTGAGGTCAGGGCATTAATAGAGCGTAAGCGCTTCCCTGAGGGGAGGTGAGAGGAAAGACTCTGTAGAGCTTGGCTCTAGTCCTCAATGATATTTAATTCCATCCTGTTGCAGCGGGTGGCGTAGATGTCCTGAAGCTGGGGTGGTGATGAATCGATATTTCTGGAGGCAGTTTAAGCTGCTCGTTGATTTGTGATCATGTGCTGTGATGTTTCCAAACCAAACCAGTATGCATCCAGATAAGATTTTTCTGAGATAAAATCTTGTAGAGAAAAGTAAAGTTGCTTTTATTTATGTGCAGACTATGAGAGGAAGCCACAGATTAAAATACCAAGCTGCTCACAATGTCCATCTCTGCCATGCCTAGAACATTTGACTGTGTTTTTTGTTGTTTTCTGCATTTAGGGTCGGGTTGTTGTCACGATATCACAATGACAAGTTGTGTGTTTCATCCCATGCTGTCTCACCAGCATCTGTGTTAAATCCAGTTACTGCTGTATCATCTGTGAGATTAACACTGTTATTTGAGGAGTGATTAGTGACAAGTGTACAGGCTGTACAGCAATGGGCTGAGGCAACAGCTTTTTGAGGGGTGCCAACATTCACCAATGTGACGGATGAATATTTATTCCCCACTTTTATCAGCTGGACATGTTAGAAAACTGTTCAGCCACATGCAGGTAGAACAACATAGACCAGGGTCAGTGAGCTCACACAAGTCCGCAAAATCTATGATGACTGACCTGTACTCCTGGTCCTTCCCCTCAGACACATAGCTGACAATGGCCGAGTCATCAGAGAACATCTGGAGGTGACAGCTGCTGGTGTTGTATGTGAAGTCCAAGGTGTAGAAGGTGAATAGAAAGGGTTAGAGCACCGTACCCTGTGGAGCTCCTATACTGCACATAACCACCTCACACATACAGTTGTGAAGCCTCACATACTGCAGCCTTTTGGTGAGATAGTTGATGGTCCATGCAGTCAGATATTCATCCACTCCTGTGCCCCTCATCTCCTGTTGTAGTACACGGCTGGATGGTGTTGAAGGCACTTGAGAAGCCGAACAATATGATTCTCACAGTGCGTTTTTGCATCTCGAGGTGAGTCAGAGCCCGGTGCTGCAGGTAGATGAGCGCATCCTCCAGCCCCATGTTTGGTTTATGTGCAAATTGTAAAGGGTCTATCACCGGGCTCACCACTGAATGTAGATGGTTTAAGATGAGTCTCTCCATCGTCTTCATCAGATGGGAGGTCAAGGCGATTGGTCTGTGGCGGTCTGGTTCTCTGGTTTGCTGAGGGTTGGAGGTAGCTGTTTAATGTTGTGAAATTTGGGGGGGGGGGGGGGGGGGTGCTCGGTGGAGGTGGTTGGGGAATACATTAGGATACAGATGAACTTACTGGTTTATTTATTTCTGGTTTCTCAAAGCATTTCATGATTACAGCGGTCAGGGCTCTGGTTCTAGTGCATGGTACGCATTACGCAGAGGTTTAGCACTGATAG